AAAACACTTTGCATAGTTCAAGTTTCTCATATTCTTTCAAAGGATAATTGTTTTAGCTACGTCAAGTTGACTGTGTTTTTCAATTTATAACTCGGAACTTGTGGATTGAAGGGATGCAAGATGATCTTTCTTTGTCGTTCTAATAGCCAGAAGATACTCTACTACCTCCTCCAGTTGGATGACTATGATATTGTCTGAAATTGGCTCAGTGCATATACAGAAAAGTATCATGCTTAATTCAAGGAGAATGTTTTGATTTATAGTATTGCTTCTGTGATTTTATACAAGGTGGTATAGGTGATCCTCCTCAGAAGGTTCAGATAAATTGACTGAGAGAAGAAAACCATTTGATGCTCACCTATAATCGTGAGTATCTTCGATTCTACTTATCTCAGTTGGTAATGATCAACATACTCATCAATTCAAATATTCTTTATTTTTTCTAATAGTTCCAGCACGTGTTATTGATTGTGGGTAATGATGGGAATGCTCTAGACGCCGCAGCGTTTTAACCGTAAGTTTCATTATGCGAATTAGAAGTTCAATTTCCGAATATGGAAATGGGAGATCTATTATAGGTAGATTATATCTTTTCTAGTATTATGTGTGAACTAAGTAGACCCGTACAGATAAGGTAGCAACAATGATAGTTAGGAACATCCACAGTGGCGAAAGTATGAGCCATAGAGGTACTGCTACTTGGAAACACAACCTCAGACAAAGCAGAGTTTCGAATAGGACTTTAAGACAAACACAAACTGAAATGTGGTTTGGTTATGACGTTCTTCAGCAGAACCTTACGGAATTGTCCGAACAAATCGTAGTTCAGTCGTAGGAATATCCTAAGGTTGTAGTATATTCGCTCATCTGTCCTCTCTTCAACAGCTTTATAAACCGTAAGAAAGAAGGAAGTGAATATCACTAGATCAGTAGCAGCTAATACAGAAAACAAAAGCACTGGAGGATGTTTCTCTGGACCACTGTCCTGCAAAAGTAAATGATGCGCGTTTCAGAACTGAATGACTTACCAAATGTAAAACTAAACAAGCTAAAACAATAATCGTCATCATCCATATTATTATACATCTATGTCCAGTAGCTAACGACATCATTATAAGACGTCTTCTGATGCTTCTGAAAGCTGATGATCAGCAGTGAGCGTTCTTCGTGTGTTTTGCTTGCGCAAACGTGGTGCACACGTTCTTGTCAACTACAACAGCATCTTCGGACCAGGAAAATAATCAAGCCATTTGATTAAATGTTCTTAGAAATTGAAAATCACTTCGTTATGGGAAGGAGTTAGGGTTTATATCTAGTTTGGTCTTACTTGTTCTTTGCGAGAACACTACGTGAGTACGCGTTTCACACTTAGATATTATACATCGACTTTACACGGGTAATTTTCATATCATTGTTCAGTTTGTTTTGATCTCATCGATGGATCAGGTTCTTTCTTGATTGTGATGTTTCTCGGTTTACTGAACTCTTGGTGAATTTAAATATTTAAAACCATACTTTATGACTTTTCAACGGATATTCAAAACAATACGGGTACGAGCTGGATTAAAAAATATTTTCGTTGTAGAGAGAATCACATGGAATAACCTGTCCTTTAAAGATCTTCTTCTGAATGTAACTTAGTCTGTTCGCCTGCAGTTTGATGTTGGAAAACGATAGTTCTCGAAATGGTTTCGATTCGGGCACGCAGATCAGAATAGTTTGAATTCTCATACATAATTATTATGACTAAGAGAGCGAAAAGCAAACACATCACAACAATGAAGATTTGTTGA